ACACACACACACAGAGCATACACACACATAAATACACGCACACACACAGAGCATACACACACATACAGCATATGCACACACATACAGCATATGCACACACACAGAGCATACACACACATACAGCATATGCACACACATACAGCATATGCACACACATACAGCATACACACACATATACAGCATACACACACATATACAGCATACACACACACACACATACAGCATACACACACACACACACACATACAGCATACACACACACACACACACACACACACACACACACACACTACAGCATACAGCATACACACACACACACACACACACACACACACACACACACACACACACACACACACACACACACATATACACACACACACATTTTTTTTCTCTTCCCTTCTTTTCCTTTCCCTCTTCTTTTTCATTATTTTTTTTCATCAACTCCTAATTGCCCATGCTTTGTTTCTAACAGCATTAACACCTTTCTTTTTACTCCAGACTACTGCTGCCATATGAGAAATTCTTATTACAAGAGCAGAAGAAGCTGTTGGGCATCGGAGCCACCAAGAGCAGCAAGGTAAAATCAGAGCCAGGAGAGCCCTCTGTTTCCATCCTCCAGGTAAGTCGAGGAGGGGCTTCCGGATGCTCCGTGGTAGTGTTAATTAGTTTTAGTTGCCGTGGTCAGTTCAGGTGTGGAGGATTCACTCAGGTTTTCCTTGTTCTGTTTAACGTATCGACAGTAATCAACCAGGAATGGGGAAAAAAAAAATAAAAGGAATAGAGTATGTACTCTTGTCCGCTCGTTCGTTCATTCTCTCCACGTGAACGAGTGTCTGTCGGTAGACGTGGTCAGGTCAGGACTGGAATTGGAATTGGAATGAAAAGGCCATTGCTAGTGCATAGTCACAGCAAGGTGTGCATTCTTCAAGAGAAGCTACTAGGAAACTGCGCATAGCCAAGACAGAATTTTACATAGGTTTTGTGTTGAAAAGGAATATCATCCAATTTATCCATTTGTTTGTGACTGGAACAAGTAAACAAGAAAGTGATTTAAGTACAGGTGATTTACAAGTTATCATGATATCCGATGTGGATTTATTTTTCCCACCCCTAAGATATTCCGTGTCCAGTGTTAAGCTTTTAGTATCATTAAAAGAAAATATTACTTGTTTCGCATCATTCTTAAATGACTGTTTGGTTTTCTAGTATTATTTTGCCTAATACTTCATTGAGTAGTTGTAATGTAATCTTTTCTAACTTCTCTAGCCAATTCCTAGCATGGTTGAGATTTTCTTGATTATTTTTAGTCTGTTTCCAGGGTATTTGTATATCTTCTGAGTAGCTGTTTCACTAATGGAATGAACTGTTTTACTCCTTCACTTAGCATGTCAAAATGATGTTCAGAATATTTCTGTATTTTGCCTTACATACTGTTTGCTTTTTTTTGACAAACTAAAGTACATTTAAGATTCTGTCATTTTCCAAAGGGATCTTGAGCAGGATGTTTTTTATTTGTTTTTTTGATATGTAGCAAATCTACAGGTAATAGCAGAACAGCAAATCTATATTGTAATTGTAGGACAGGTTAGGATGTCTTACGATATGATTTATTTATTTTTTTTACCATCATTGAAATACAGAGTAGAAACATTAATAATTTGCTGATGGTGTAAATACTGGCATCTCACAAAATATCTCATTTGATATTTGTGCTAAATATGAGAAATTTTCATACATAAAACTATGTTTTTTTGTTTTTATTTCATACATAAACTGAATATCTGTATATAAACTGAAGTTCCATACATAAACTGAAAATGACTGCTAAAAAAGGTGGCATGATAAAAATTACATAATAAAAACTTATTCTTCATCATACTGACAGTAACAATCAAAATTCTTCATACTAAATTGTCTTTGAAAAGGTATTGAAATGACCCACTTAGATTTTAATATAGTAGAAATAGACATGAAACGGTGGTAGCACTTACAATGTGTGTAGCAATCGAGCTTAACTATGAATTGAAGTTGCATACTAGCTAAAAATTCTCACCAAATGCATTAATTGTAGATAATAAAGTAGATGAAGTATGTATTTGAAATATAGGTCAGATTAGATTGATGTTCCTTTATTTTTTTTTGTTGAAGAAGGGAGTCTGTTGATATGATTGTGGAAACAGAGAGCAGTTTTGAAGTAGATATTACTTTTTAATGCCTTTTCATCGAACAGAAATGAATTATTCATTAATAGTAAGGAAAGTTATTAGAGATATTTTCAGTTATGTATATGTTTTTCTACTTGAAGTATTGTTTATCTGTATGAAATTAAATTAACATACTTTATTATGTTGCGTAATTGTTGAATTTATTAGTATTATTATTGAGAAGGGAAAAACATGCACATTGTTTTTGTGTGCTTTGTACATTTGGGCCCAAAAGATTAGGAGAATCCATATGTGGTAAAGGTTGAGCCAAAGAAAGTATTAGCAAGAGCTGACAATTTTATAGGTGGAACATCATTGCCAGTACAGCACATTACGCAATCAGCGAACAGTAAGCGTGTCTTACTTCACTGAAGCGTGTTAGTGAAACATATTTGGATGTCAGTATTAACTCCATAGCATTTCATGTTTCAATAAAGGGAAAGTTAGATCCATAGGTACATTAAAAAACTGCTAGGGATTGCTGGGTGCATGATGGGTGTCGTTTCTCACAGCAGCATGTGCCAAGTGACAACAAGCCCTCTCTCAAGTTGGGGGGAACCTGTCCCAAGCTGCTACCTCCCCACGTACCTCCTGGCCACCATGGTGGGGCGCAGGAGGCACATGGGTTGCCCAGTGGGCCTCTCACAGGGTCTTTAGGTGCTGCGCCAACTGTGGGTACACCACCCCAAGCCAGCCCTGCGCCACCGGCCTCTGTCAGTCCTCCAACAACACCAACGGAGCTGACGGTAAGTTCACCTGCGGCGACAACACACAATCTGCTGCTGCTGCTGCTGCCTGGTGACCTGGCTTGGTGCGCCCTAACCACCCTTCCTCAAACCTTCCTGTCCTGCTTGACTCCTGTCCACTCATGGGCCATGAAGACAATTAATACTCCCAGTACTACATAACCAACATTCCCTGTATAGCATTTTGTTAGTACTTACCAAAACATCTCTACAGCTTAGAAGATGGGGGGTTTATTTGATTTTATTATAGATATTCATATATATATATATATTTTTATTATTTACTAATATACTTCCTCACCCCCCTTCTTCTCGAAATTATTCCAAGAGAACCTTACATAAGTTCGAAAAAACAGGAATGACCAGGTGGAACTCGGTTACAAGGGCTAAGTAGCAGACCTCCCAATGGTCATGTGGTTCTCAGGGTCAGATTAGAACATTTTTAGGACCATGATTACCTGTAGGTCGTACCCTGCTCAGTTGTGTGCATGTTCTAACCTTTTTTTATTTTGTAATCCTAGTTTGATATTGTAAATGGCTCTTTTTCTTTTGCCTTTTAGTTTTGGAATGCTGTAACTTTGTGCATGATAAATTTGTAGGCATAAATCTTTTACAATTTAGGTACCTGATGATTGGTATAATAGCAAAATATAAAATTCTCTATGGTGCATGCTAACCATACTTACTTTCAGAAGAAATCTTTGCGTACCTGATTTTCAACATAATAAAACTTTTAAGAATTGTAATATTAATATTACTAATCTCCTTCCTGTCTTGGAATGTTAATCTACAGTTCTTCAAGGAAATTACTGAAGTGTTGAGTACTGTTAAGGTGGTTTCATTGTCTTGTTAGAATAATAATGATAATAATAAAAATGATATTGTTCTTTTAACATTAAGCACAATCCCCCTTGAGGAATGAAAGGACCAGTGTTATAAGTCATCAGTAAAAAGAGAAGTTTATTATAAGATCTCTTAGATTTTACGTCCTACCCAAATAAATGAAAGTGTGCCATAGTTTTATTAAAGGTTGACAGTTTTTTTAAAATATTACAAATAGGTTTAATAAGTTTGGAATCTAGATTTAAAAGGAAGTTATTCTTTAGGTGTGTTATAATGTGTAATTTGATTTTGTAAGGTAACAATGGTGTATTAAATGGAAGAACATCATTATTGTTATTATTATTGTTATTTTCATACCGTTTTTTATTGTATTTTCATGGAAATATTACTCTCTCTGTGAATATAAGTAGTAAATGCATAAATACACTAAATAGATACGAGAATTGTAATAACCTGCAACTACTCTTAACCAGTCTAACATACTCTGCATGGTATGTGACAGAATAAGGAGTCTAAAAAAGATAACTGAAAACTAATTTCATTTACAGATATTTTATATTTTCTTCTAGATGATTTTATGGCATTGTTATATATTTTGTGTTCTAGTGTGTGTGGGTGTGCACTTGGAATTTGTTTAACATCAATTTAGTAATTTGACATTTTACCTTTGAGTCATGTGAAGGTAAGATAAAGAAAAAAGTTGATTTATAGCATCTGTGGCAGAGATTCCCAAACTTGGACTTTGTAAAGGGATTTTTAAGTGATTTGTAATATGTATGTATTTATATAATATTAATATATGTAATATTTATAAGTTTTTCCATCTTTATTTATGCATTATTTTAACCCTGTATAAGTGGATACTTGTACAGTCCACTTCAGTTTTTGTGAAATTTGTTGTCTCACAAGTTCTTAGCCACTAAGGATTGATAATAATTATTTTATTGAAACATCAATCAAGAGGAATTGAAAATTGAAGAAACTATCTGAAAAGCAAAGAAAAGAATAAACATGAGATAGGTTGGACTAGCATTACGAGTCCCTGTTGAGTAAATACTTATGAAGCCATCTATGTTTTTATGACATTTAATTAACAAAAATCGCAGTGGATATGGCATATATATCGTACCATCTCAGTGGGTTAAGATTTGGTTCTATTCTCATATTTTAGAATCTTGTTAGTTTTGTAACATTCAGTAATGTTGCTCATTTCAGTGCAGGTAGCAATAAGGCTTTGACCCCATTGCTGCTAGTATGGCATGTATGTAAATGCCATGCCCATAGTTGGTTTATTTTATTAATTGTGTTTAGACATAGATGGTTCCAAAGTGTTTCGTCATCAGTGAGTTGATCACTTGTCTTGATTGTCTTATCTTTACTCTTTTACTTGATTTTTGGAAATACTGTAGCATGTTCTATATTGCTACTATTATATAGTAACAGTATTTATAATATTTATAGTCTCAATAATGATGATAACAGCATAAAGACAAATATCATTAGGGGGAGGATAAAGTACCCCCCCCCCCCCCCCCCGGAAAAAAAATGAGGAAAGGAAGGCGAGGTGAGGTCATTTAGAATACTAATTGACTCCTTGGTGGTTGAGGACCTGTGGAGCCATCTATCTGTAGACACATTTCAAAACAATACTGCAGTGAACTTCACATTCTCCATGTGGTATTGGGTTAATTGTCAAACAGTAATACTTGTAAAAAAGGACATATTTGGGAATCACTCACAGGTATATTGTTCATTTTTCGTATGATTATGTAGGTAAAATGGAGAAAATTCAAGTTTCACTTCAAACCTGATGTTAAACAAGCTTCAACAAACTATCAGTTATCTTTTTCTTTGGCTATCCATCTGTTTAGCTGAGAGAGACAATATCTCTCTCTCCCTCTCTCCCTCTCTCTCAGTCTTACTCTTCTCTCTCTCTCACTCCTCTCTCTCCCTCTCTCTGTCTTACTCTCCTCTCTCTCTCACTCTTCTCTCTCTCCCTATCCCTATCCCTCTATCTTTCTATCTTTATATCTATCTCATCTACCCCTCCTCTCTCTCTCTCTCTCTCTCTCTCTCTCTCTCTCTCTCTCTCTCTCTCTCTCTCTCTCTCTCTCTCTCTCTCTCTCTCTCCCCTCTCTCTCTCTCTCCCCTCTCTCTCTCCCCCCCCTCTCTCTCCCCCTCTCTCTCCTCCCCCCCTCACCCTCACTCTCACCCTCCTCCACCTCTCTCCTGTCCTCTCCTCTCCTCTCCTCTCTCTCCTCTCTCTCTCTCTCTCTCCCTCTCCCTCTCCCCCCCCCTCCCCCCCCCTCTCTCTCTCTCTCCCTCTCCTCTCTCCCCCTCCCCCTCCCCCTCCCCCTCCCTCTCCCTCTCCCTCTCCCTCCCTCTCTCTCTCTCTCTCTCTCTCTCTCTCTCTCTCTCTCTCTCTCTCCCTCCCCTCTCTCCCCCCCTCCCCCTCCCTCTCCCTCCCCTCTCCCTCTCCCTCTCCCTCTCCCTCTCCCTCTCCCTCTCCCTCTCCCTCTCCCTCTCCTCTCTCTCTCTCTCTCTCTCTCTCTCTCTCTCTCTCTCTCTCTCTCTCTCTCTCTCTCTCTCTCTCTCTCTCTCTCTCTCTCTCTCTCTCCCCCTCCCTCCCTCCCTCCCTCCCTCCCTCTCTCTCTCCATCTAATGCATAGTTTTGTGTGTGTGTGTTATAGTTATATGATTTAATGTGTTTGTCTTTATTTTTGTTGTGTTGTATGTCACGGAAAATGTTATTTGTCGTTTTTACTGTTTTATCATGATTTTTGTTTAGTTTTTAATAATGATTTAATAATGATTTAGTTTTTAATAATGTTTAGTTTTTAATAATACTGTAATTATGATGACTGTGATGATGATTACAACATTTTCCCAATTTGTTAATAGTAATTTTGCCAATATTAATATTAAACTTATCTTTGCTTCTATTTTATTAGGTAAATATTAATTGTAATTATTTTTATTTTTTTCTGTTATTATGCTCGGTATCGGTTACAATTTATTATTGCAATTATTGTAATTTTTATTTTGATTATTTTGTTTTAGATGGCATTGATTCCCTCCTTATCACAGAAAAGCAAGTTAATGCCCCTCTTGCGCTGTGCCCACAGGTGCCCAAGGTGAACACGAAGAAGGAGGGCAGCATCCCCGCCGACCTGGCCAAGCGACCAGAAATCACCATCACTCCCATCCCGCGATCTCACACGGGGCTTGGGCCGGCGCAGATGCCAGGCCCCTTGCCGCCCGGCCTGTCTCCGATGCCCCCGGGGCTCAAGGGCCTCCAGCTGGCTGATCTCATTACCCTGGAGGGACTCAAGACCACCTTCGGCATGACCGCGCTGCAAGACCTGGCCAAGATCGCAGAGAGGTAATTGGCGATGCTGCCTGCAGGCTCTGGGGCTTGCTTGCTTGTTCATTTGTTAAAGGGTGGGGTTTGTGATAGTAAATTCTTAATAGGATGTGGATGGGGTAATGTTGATTTCCTTATTGTTCAGATCATTTGTCGGAAAGCATAGTTTTTAATTAAAAGTAGAGGAAGACTTGGTATATTATGTTTAAGTCATATTGATCCTCAGCCTTCGGGTGGTAAAGCGGTATTCTTGATTAACCAATACACAGTAATTTGCTTTATGACAGATATGAGAAGCCTCTGCAGGAGCCGGCACCGAAGAAGCTGAAGACGGAAGACGGTGCGAGGGTGAACGGTGCTAGTTCGAGAGATCGGGGTAATGGACGGCCATCTGTGATCCAGGAAACTCCAGTCAGTAAGGCGCCTCTGCCTGCAGTGCCTGGGCTTGTCTCTGCGGACATGTTAAGACAGATGAATCTCCTCGATTCCAAGCTACTCCTTCCAGCACACCAGAGCAACAAGACAACGATCAGTGCGCTGGCACAGCTCCTCCCCCAGACCAGCATCTTCCCGGCACCCGCCCCGGTCGCGCACCAGCACCAGCATCACTTGCCGAAGTCGCCGAGGGACCCAATCAGACTGGAGCCTCCCAGGGTGTTTCAGTCTCAGTCTGTGTATTCCCAGTCCAAACACATGTATGGAAAACCAACTGCTGATGTCAGTAAGGATGTGAATAAAGACACCAATAAGAGTTCTAGTCCAGAAATTGAAATTCTGGATCTTAGTCGTGCATCAGGAAATAAGAATGGAAAATCTACAAAGACAGAACGGCCAGAAATAGAACTATTAGACCTGTCAACGAGGCGTGACATAACCGTTTCGGCAGTTTCTAAGCCAGGTACTAGTAAGAACTGCAATGCCAGTAGGATTCCTCCCCCTCATGTAAGCATTAAATCATCAGATCATCCAGGTAAACAGTCACCCATGAAACACCTACCACCAACAAGCAGTGCGCCATCCGTTGCAGCACTTGCAGCAGCAACAGCTCAGGGCTTGCCTCCAGGACTAGCAGGTCTTCAGCTCAATCCTGCTGCACTACTCCCGTACCTACCCATGCTTTCTCAAGGGGTCAAACCAGGCTCAGGAGCTGGAGGCTCGCCCATATCCATGTTTCCCTACGTGGATCCTGGAGCTCTTGCTGCATATTATAGTATGCTGCCCCCTGGTTTAATTCCCACCACCAGTAGTGGCGGTGGGGGCAGCGGGGGCTCTGCAGCAGCTCAGCATATAGCAGCAACTCAGTTACACCTCAGCTCATTAGGGCTTTCTGGATTGTCGGGTCTTTCGCCCGACGCTCTGGCAAGCTTGGGCATGTACAAGAACTTCCTACCCCAAGGAAACCTTCCTGCCCCACACTTCCTCTCGGGTCTAATGTCTCCACACAACCACAATCCACCCACCAGCAAGTAAAATAAAACAAAAATTACAAGGAAATCACTAGCACAGCCAAAATTATCATCCTCATTAAGTATCACAAGCACATTTAAACATCTTTAGTTTGTCAGAACCACAGTTCTCATTATCCTCAAACCAACAGGTCTCTTTTAATCATAATCACCTTTATCCATCCATATGAAGCTCTCCCCTTTTCTTGTGCCTCCCCTCTGCTAGCAAGTATTGGATCTCACGTCTTCCTTGTTTTTGTCCCTCCATCGTCATCGTCATACTCAGACAACCACACCCACATCGCGTGCAGTCATTTTCATCCCATAGAGGTCGCGCCATTGCACACATCACCACCACTACCACAGTCCCGAGACTCCCAATAATTGTGTTGCCCCTAGTGAGCCCAACAGCTGTTTCATAATCTGAGCTAGAGGTATTAAGCCGGTTTTTCATGCTATGCTGTTGTGAATATATTTTTGGTGTCCGTATTTTGGGAAGAGAATGCGTGAGAGAGAGAGAGAGAAAGATGTAATATTTTGATGGTAAATGAAATGTGTCCTTTTTGAATGGATGTGGGTTTTTGTTCATATTACAAATTGAATTTTAGTTATTTAAATCAGAGTATTGCTTTATCAAGTACTGATCAAAAAGAATATCTTTTTACGTTAAAATTAAAATTATGAATGCAAGCAGTTACACTCAAAGAATTACAAACTATTTATTTAAAAAAAGAAAAAAGGACGGCGTAGCATGAAAAGACGGCTTGATGTGAATGATGAATGCCAACGGGAGTAGGGGCTCATATGGTACCTGGTTTAGCGTAAGATTTTCTTGGGTTCAGTAAGTGCCTAGTTTTGGTTCTCCTTCCGTTTTCTAATTATAACAGCAAAGTATTTGTGTGATGTAAATAAGTACAGTGATTCTTTTCTCCAATTCTTTTTTTAATTTTTTATGATAAATAAAACAATAGGTTAGTTATTTTTTTGTAATAAACTTTCGTAGTCATAGCCAGAAAGACAATTGCCTAGCCGTGGTTTATGAAAAAAAAAGAGTAATGGTAACTGGCTGTTGGTGTCAGTTCCCGCATAAAATCATGAGTCCTTATGAAAGTACGAGTTCGTTCGTGACTACCTCCAGTGTCAAGATGTTCATTCAGAAGCTCATTCGTGAGGTGAAGCAAATGATGATGGAGCACTGAAAGCTACAGTGATCATGAATGATGTGTCAAAGCCCCCCCACTGTACTTACACAGCAATAAAGGGAAAAAAAGAGAGACAAAATGAGAGAAAATTCTATAGTGCTGTGACTTTCGAGAGACTGGACGGAGCTCCTGTCCCCAAAGAAACACCTGGACGTATTGCAATGCAGCATTTTTGATCATTCTGTGTTCGCTG